CCATGACAATCTCCAGCTGCAGCTTAATGTTTTCATCTCAAACTAATGTGATAAAATAGTCAATAACTACAGTAAATCATCATGAACCATATCAGCTAGCTACTAGTTATGTTTATTATCATTATAATATCAAGTAATCCTTTGCCCATAGTTGAGCATCAAAAAAACCCAGCAAACAAGATAAATATCCATGACAATCTCCAGCTGCAGCTTAATGTTTTCATCTCAAACTAATGTGATAAAATAGTCAATAACTACAGTAAATCATCATGAACCATATCAGCTAGCTACTAGTTATGTTTATTATCATTATAATATCAAGTAATCCTTTGCCCATAGTTGAGCATCAAAAAAACCCAGCAAACAAGATAAATAAAAAATTGGTAATTTAAAAACCTGCTAATAGGGATCATAAAAAAAGTAAAGAAACAAGACTGGAGATACCATAGACATTATTTACTCAAACTACAAATCCCTATTTTGACTCCACCAAATGTAATTCTAGGTAACAGCATGGAGCCAAAATGGGGGCTTGTAGTTTGAGTAAATAATGTCTACAGTATCTCCAGCTTTGTTTCCTTATATTTTTAAGATCCTTACTTGCAGGTTTTTAAATTCCCAATTTTTTATTTATCTTGTACTCAACACAGCTAGTCAAAAAGTGAGACACTGTAAATCAAAAATTGATATTCTAATCAATATTCAGTAAGCATTTTCACTTGATAGAATGGTCTGAAAAAAAGCAAGAGTAGATCTGGTCTATCTATAATAACACTCAGATCACCTGACTAACAGGCTTTACATCAAACCACATACAAGATGTGGCCAGATATTTGCGAAATTGTCAGTTTTACAGCTGTTTTGTGTTATGAATTGGTTAAAAATATCCACAACTATAAAAAAGATAAAATATCCTAAGAAAACACATCTTTAGAATAAAGTATCACTGAAAACACAGCTAGAAAGTTGCAGATTTATATGAAGCAGTACTACAATATATAAAATCAAATTGTACAAACACAAATGCCTTTATAAAGAGAAATTGGTGAAGTGCATTATTCATAAAACTACATCATTCTTTGTTATGCATACCTGTATGTGTTCATTGTATCTGAATTCTTACAGTTGCTAGCAAAGAATTATGCACAATTCTAATACTAAGTGTATGTTTGTAAAGATTTCCCTTTTAAAGGTATTTTCATTTGAATATTCACATTATTTCATGTGATAAATGAATATTTTAAGGCATTAATTTGGAGTAACTAGAAATTATTATAGCTGTTGTAAAACTGTTGCTTACTGATTTTGATAAAATGACAATAATTATGCATTTTAAAATTTTGATATTGTTCTTCTTGGAGGTTTATAATATATATATATTAAAATGTTTTTTTCAGTTATATTTCATCAATCTTGATTGTAAACTAAACTACGTTTAAAAATTACTTTGCTATAAGTCTCACTTAATATAAAGAAAAATATAACGAAAAAAAGTTAAACTCTTTAACTGGTTGTTTTTCAGATGTGATTAATAATTACGAAATGTGACTGTTCAAAAAATAAACTTCTCTTACAGATGATTGTTCTTGTGCACTAAATCTTTCAAGTGAGTTCTCTGGGAAAATTAATTCAGAGCACACATATAGATTTTATAATGTTTTCTATTTCCAGCAATATCCATTAATTTTGCAAGTTAAAACAGAAAAAAGGGATGGTTCAACTACCAACAATCCTTATGTAGCATTTCGAAGGCGCACAGAGAAAATGCAAACAAGAAAGGTTTGTTCATGCCAAAAAAATATATTCATGAAATAATGATAAATATCATTAAAACTCATTAGTAATGTTGTGAAAGTGATTTGTATTTATTTTAATTATATTTCATATTGTTTATTCATATTTAAGATTCCCAGGAAACACTGAAAATGATTTTTTTTTATTGTCTCAATTAATCTTAAGCAAAGAAGGGAAAAATTATTCTTGTTCATTGATAAATATCTTTAAGTAATGAACTTTTTTATATTATTTTTAATGTGTTAACTTTCTATTCAGGATAATATTTTTTGTTCTTTGCTTGATTTGTAATTACAGATTTTAATTAATATGTTAGTAATTACAGATTTTAAAAGAGTATATGAAGTAGTTAACAGGTGGCTAAGGAAAATTTTAAAAATCTTAGTAGTATTGTCATTTTAAAAATTTTAGCTAGTTGGGTTTCTTTTTATTTTAACAGTACTTCATATTAGTATATTATCATAATTTAAGGCTGACAGTCCAGAGGAACATATTTTATACAACACACAACCTGCTAATGTTAAAGCTAGACAGTTTATAAAAGTCTTCTGTGCTTCATTGACACAGCCACTGTTTTCTTTTTACATGAGAATGTTAAGTTTTACATCTCAATTATGTGGAGAAAGGAAGATAAGATGGTGAACATTTGCAGTAACAAATGACGTGGCACATGTAAGTACCTACAAACCAAAAAAGAAATCACCTTTAAATCAGGAAAAACCTTCAGAGTTAATCAAGAGGAACTGTAAATCAGAAATTCTTGTACATTGTATAACGTGTTTCAGTTGACACAAACAGTACATCTGTCACACTGGAAAGAAACTTTGAGAGAGTGCAAATTCATGAACAACAAATTCAAGATCCAATATTCCACTGAATGAACATCTGAACTCTTGTTGCAATGAACCATTTGCAATCTTTCTGTTTTCAAACAGTGAAATATAGTAGAAAGCATAAGAAAAATATTTAATAAGATTATTATAGTCAACAATTAATTGTTAAAAATATTAAGTTTGTATGTCTTTTTGTCCCTTTAAATTAATAATTTTATATTTTATTTAATTTTGATGTGAAACTCAATCTGTGATGTCAAATTTAAAGCTATTTTTAATTTCTGAGGAGTACACCTTGGAAAAAAGCATTTATATTAAATAAATTATTTAATATCTAGTTGTTATTAAATAGTTATTCTTACACACAGACACTCAAAATATTTTAAAATTAGAATCTAAGTGCAATTTTCTACTTCTGTTTAATATTGTGCATCTGTGCCTTCACCCAAGTTTTTATCCTATGTATTCAAATCTCTTCTGCCTGCTTGGGAAGTGAACCACATGTCTTCTGTTTTGCTCTCTAGTGCCCAGTTTTCGTGTCTTCATTTCCTGACCACCTTCCTGCATTACCTCTCCTCCCTCCACTTTATGTGTGATGCATTTTATCGTGTTTCAGAGAGGTTTGTTATCTTCTCTTTACTAAATTAGCCCATACCACTTTTCTGCTCTATTCTTGTTTACTTGGTTCCTCTTCTTTTGGGTTAGAATGCACTCCTCACTAATGTCCACCTCTCTCCTTCTTATCTACATGTTCTTCATCAGGCTTCTTTTCTTTGCCCAGAAGTCTTTGGTGGTATTACTAATTCAATGGAGACCCAGGGTGAAGCAGCCAAGCATCAGTCCTTGTTGTCTTTCCCTAATTTCTTGTTTTTCTCAACCATGTCCTCCGACTTGTGTTCCTTGACCAGATCAGTCTACCTCTATCCTTCCCATTTGAGCTTCCAGGCCTTCCTCATTTTCCCGCTTCCTAACGTCAACTATCCTGTCAGGTGGGCCTAGTGGGTGTCCATCTGTCTCACATTGCCAACTCTTTATCATAAGATGTTTTCTTCCCTTGTCCTCTCCACTATGTTCTAATCCTTCTTTTTTCACCAACTCCCTTGCCCAATTCCCATGCCTGACTGGGGCCTTAATGTGGTGTTACATGCTGTCATGTGTGCCTTTGAGCTATTGGCTACTCGCTCTTTATATCACTTTTCTCTTAAGACTTACTTCTTTCTCCTTCTCACCTGTTGTTGCTGTCATTCAGGTATTTATACTCTTGTTGCTTCTTGCACTCTATTCCAACACACTTATTTCTCTACCCAGACTGGGCCTTTCTTAAGTCTTCAGCTGTTTGGGAGGGTGAACATTCTTTTTCTCCCTCCCTATCTCTCAGCTCTATGCTCATTTAGACCCGGATTGGCTCTTATGTTCAGTTCAAGCTGTTCTGTGTTAATTGGCACAAACTTATTCCTTTCAAAACTCCCATCATAGTATATTTCTACTGTGTGACCCCCCTTTTCATCCAGGGACCTCTTAGCTTCTATCCTTACCAGATGGGTCTGTCAACTCCTCTGGTTGGTATACTCTTCTCTGGATATTGATACTTGAGAGTTCTTTCATATTTTGTTGTATCAGATTCTTCACTTGACTCATTCTCTTGCTTCTCTTTTTGTTGGTCCTTGGATGAGAATCTCCAGGCATGCATGTGGACAACTCCCCACATATTTGTCATTTATTATTTTCATCAACTGGCTATTTTGTCTCCCCTGGTTGCCACACTTCAATCAACCCACTATCTTTGAGATGAGTTTGTTTTATTTTCCTTTTCATTTGACAGGATCCTGCCAGGTGTCTGATGTTGCCTCCCAGGGTATGCTTACTTCCCAAAATCTACATTGGGTTAGGGGTAATGGAAAGTGCTCAAACCATATGCTCTGGCTCTACCAGTGCCCTCTGTTGAGATGGAGTCTTCTGCAAAACCACTAGAAGTATACAAAATTATTCAATTGCCTGATCTAGACCATACCATTCCATGGACTATCATGGAAAAGGTTGGCATCAGAGAAGTGACTGCCCACTTCTAAGAGTCATCTAACAGATATACAAGCACTTCTCTGGGTCTCCCCACTCCCTTTTTCAAGTGAAGCATTGGAGACCCTTGACACTTACCTGTTCCTAGCTGCTGGGGTGGTGGAACTTGAAGGGTTCCTTGCTAATTGGGCTCGGCACAATACAGTGAGAAGTATGGTGATGGTGGCACTGTCAGTGTTATGCAGGTCAATTCTCAAACAACTTGTGCACCCTCTTCTTATAGAAGAGTCTGTCCAGTTGAGTTAAGCACATCCTGTACTTTCTGATTGTGCCATAACCACGCTACACTTACTGGTTCACTGACCACTTGTGTGCAAGTGCTAGGATTGTCATGTTCTTATTCTGCCCATCCCTGTGACACTTCTGACTTATTTGCCTCTTCCCCCCTTCTTTTACATTCCAGGTGAATAGTTTACCTATGAAGCCCTTACCATCAGGTGTCACACTCTGCAAGTTTTCCCTTCAGGTGCTTTCTGAAAGGACTTCACTAGGTTTAAATTTACACGGACTCCTCCATCAATTTAACGTGGAATTCTAGCTATTCTGTGTGAGGAGGTGAAGTATTGTCTTGGAAGATAACATTTTCCTAATCTAAGAAAGAAATTATTGCAAGTGCTTAAGGGGATTTATTGTGTCACCCTCCTATTGGTGGAAGACTGTTGTCACGTTGATGCCATTATGCATCAGTGCAGTTCACATTAAATGCATGAATCTCAGGTGGGAGCTCAATACTATTAGCATGCAAATCTTGTAGGTAGATGCACAAGGGATATAGCTGTTCCATGTGTTGAGGTGAGTATCTATTGGAAAAATACTTTCAGATTAAGAAAATGTTAATATTTGCAAGATAGTGCTATTTTACTCGAAATCATTTGAGTTATTTTTTGTTTTTTTCTTTCAGACACAATTGTATAAATTGTTTGTGCTCAGTTGTATGGAATGTTTTGTCTTTTATCAGATGGGTGGCATGAACAAAATTTCAAATACTGAAGTTTTGACTTTTGTATTTTGCAAATTCATTTCCAAAAATTTTATTTATAGTTTTCTATTATTTTTCTTCCAAGTATCCCATCATTAAGGTGGTATAAGTGGGTGCAGTTTGGGTTCTCATTGCTATTCTTTTAATTATAAGTTGTATTGTCAAAACAGAAATAATTATTTTGTAGTATAAGTCTAATCCTTATAAATTATTTGTTGAATCTTATATGTAATAACTCTTGGTGTTTTTGATTCCCCTAAAAAAGGAGAGAGTCCTTACATCAGATATAGAAGTAAAGTATTTGTCTAGTTATTCTGATATATTTCATCTATAACACATCTATAAACATTTCACAATATGTATAGAGAGGGTTGAGTAAATTATATTAAGATTATTTTGAATATGCAAATCAACAAGTCATGTGACAGTCACAGCTGATGGAAAATCATGGTTGAATGGCATGTATCAAAAATACATTTTGACATTGTTTGATAGTGTGACGCACTGAAAATTTTATTTCTTTTGGGAAGGGTATGTAACATATATCTGACACAATATATTCATACAGTGAGGTCATAACGATGTGCTTAGATCGTGTAATTAAAATTTCCAACACTGTGATATCCTTTTTATTTAATATCATTGGAAAACAAATAGTTTAGAGAATTAGGACCATCCAGAAAGAGACGTGCAACAGTCACACCCCAACCACGGTAAGCAAAGTGTGGTGTCTTATAACAGTTGAGAATCCATGAACATAGAAGTCATTGGCAAAAAACTATCCATATGCCTCAGTTAACTACTCAACGTTATCAAAAGGATCTCCACATGTGATGTGTACACAAGTTCATTGTACAATACATCTGTTCAACCACTGCTTTCCTCCAGCAATTGCAGAATGAAACTGGTATTCATACTTATCCATACAAAAAAATATTCTGTCAAATTTCTGGATGCAACTCCTGTTGATTTCTTTGCAATCAGGTTGTTAAAATAGAACTTGAAAACTGTCATTGTCCTACAACAGATGGATTTTGTAAAACACTCAAGGAGGAATGGTGTGCTTTGGGCACGACAGCCTTTAGCATTGGAAACTATTCTACAAGACTACTGTCAAGATACACAGTTGTCAGTTAGAGCATGAATGAACATGGTGACATGGATTGTAGCGACATGATGAGGCTCAAAATTATTTTAACATAATGTACTCAGCCTTTGTATGTTTCCAACTTTATATTCTAATGTATTATTTCCACTATATTTGCTGACTTAATTAGTTCTTTCATGGTAACACTCTTTGATGCCAGATCTTGCTTATGACAGTACCATATCATGTGAGATTTTTTTCTCTGTACTACTAACTAGACTAATCAAGTATTTAAAAAAAAAGAAGAAATTATGTCATTTTATTTAATCATGCATGAAGAGATTAAAGATCTTAATGTGTTCTGTTGTGGTTGAAATTTGCCAAAGTAATTGGTGGTGTTATTTAGTATTTCTGTATTCATATGCTCTGAGATGTATTCAGTGTAGCCTAAATCACTATGAGGTGCATGCTGTGATGACATGAAACTTTAGATATAAAAGGTTATAACCAATATACAGACTCAAAGCATGTTTAAATTACACAAAAATTTAGAAAAGCTTTTTTTGTTTTTTTACAAGAATAATATAAACAAAAAATTGTTAAAAAGCTGTCGCATTATTCGAAGGACAAAATAAGTAAAATCAATAACATGACTCTCCTAAAAATAGTGAAGTATAATTGATTATTAAATTTAAAAGAAAAAAAACAACTTATTTATTTAACTTTATGATTTAGAACAGGAAAAATGATGAAACATCTTACGAAAAAATGTTGAAATTGAGAAGAGACCTTAGTAGGGCTGTGTAAGTACATTTTGCACCAAAATGTTTGCTATTGTAAATTAAATATTATGATCCCAAATAAGTCTTATTGGGTGTAAAACTTATTACAAAAAAAAACTGCAATTTTTAATTTAAATTTTAAAAAAGTTTTAGGTAGTTGATATATGTTAACCCCACATAATTATAAATAAATACTTTACTAAACATATTTTTTAAATCTTGTTGATTTGCTTGTGGTATCTTGAAATGGTAGAACAGTACATAAAAAATAACACTATACTTTTTTACCAGTTGCCCTGAAATTACCTCTAGAAAATAACCTATTTTAAACATAACCAATTATATTTAAATGGCAATTATTCATGTATATTGCCATGAAAAGCTCAATTTTTATATTATAATAATGAGATATGTTTGGCTGTAAATTTATTTAATCCATTACCATTAATGTTAACTCTGATATAAGCATTAGAAATACCCAATAGTCATGATTGGAGCATCTAAAGATGTACTTCTGACCTTATTAATGATTTGAAATGATACTTATCTTAGAGATTCTTATAAACAACAATCTGTAAGCTGCATTGTACACTTTAATGGACCTTTTCAGTATGTCTGTCATTGTGTAATTTGTGTTGCAATAGGTTGCATTTTCCTGTTATAATAAATCTTATTTTTCAATTTTTGAGTTCCATGTGGTACAAAATTAGTAAGTTGGTTTATTAAATTTCAAAGGAGCTGTCTGAATTATTTATTTGAAATATTTTACAAATGTGTGTTTCAAAGTATAATAAGTATATTATATTTCCACTGTTACTATATATATTACTTTTGATTGGTACTTTCTAGTACATTGTTAGAAATGGTCAAAAGGAGAGAGAAAACAAAGAGGGAACATCTTCACTTGACCGTTGAGATTTTTGAAAAAAGGTGAGATCTTGTCTATGAAAGAGAGAGATTTGAAACCTATGTAATGATAGCTTTTACTGCAATGGTATATTATTATAAACCTGATTTTAAGTATTATTTTATTACCAAGAAATAAAGAGATTAATTATTTAGCTGATCAGGGGCAAAACAAGGAAAAATTATAACACAAAATTATCTGGACACACGTTTTTTTATTAATTCTAACAACCATAAATATTAAACATTCTTATTAAGGTCTCAGTGAATGTAATATAATGAGATGGACATTTGAGAAATTTTGAAAGAAATTTCCAGTTCTAAGCATTTTGATATTTTATTAGAATTGTATTGTTTTTAAAATACAGAAGATCTGGAAGTATTATATTTTCAAAACTTGTTTGGAATGAAAAAAGTATAAAACATAAGTATGAATTTGTCATTTGATATGTAGTATATTTCAATGAGTTTTTAAAAATCTTAAAGGAATTGTAATATAGAATCAGGTATTAACTTCTTAAACCTGAGTGGATGCTCCCAGTATCCGGCTGAAAATCCTGATTTACCCATCTTTGTTTTGTGGGAACATTGTTAAGTTACATACATTTGTATTCACATTGTTTGTTGTGAGGTTGTATTTTAAAGCAAGAGACTTGAATGTCTTCAAATATGGAAATTGTGAATATAGTGCCTGTAATTAAACATTAGTTATTAGTAATGTTTAATGATTGAAGTGTCAGTAATAACATTTAATTTGTTTGTGTTTTGTAATTATTACTATTATTCATGTTCATTTTGTAATCTTGTTAAATCATGTTATTTTGTCTGTATAAGTTTAGAATATCAGTTTAATAAAAGTCTGAATTCACTTATTTCAGTTTAATCAGGTGTCTATCCAAGTTTTCTTGCTGTGTATAGTACTCTGCAGTTTTTGCTGGCGATCCTTAATCATGCGTTAAAATCCACAAATTTGTGTGACATATGACATACTGTAGGGATTGAAGATTAAAAAATCTTGTTTTTTTTTTTAATGACTGGAATATGAATTTCCAATCAAAAAATATGATAATTGGCATGTAATATTTAATTTTTAAACATTAGAGAAGTATTATTTTAGTTGACTTTGTCTTCCAAAAAACAGATGTTTCTAGTCTATTTGCCGTTTTTCTTTAGGTTATTGTATTCTTATAACATAAGATTAGTGTTGTTTATGAGCTTATTTATGAGTATAATTTTGATGGAAATAACCTGAAAAGTGTTTCAGAAGAAAAAGATCATGGCATTCTGGTTGATCGGTCTCTGAAACCATCCAAATAATGGACAGAGCAAATAAGATTTTAGGTTGTATCTACAAAAATATTGAATACAAATATAAAAAGGTCATAATATCATTGTATAGGTCATTGGTTAGACCACATGTAGAGTATTTTGTTCAGTCTTGAGCTTCTTACCTCAGAAAGGACATTGAATTGTTGGAAAGGGTTCAGAAGAAGGCTACTAGAATTATACCTGGGATGGAAAGGTTATCGTATGAGGATAGGTTAAGATCTCTGAAGTTGTTTTCTCTTAAAAGCCCCCCAGTGGCACAGCGGTATGTCTGCGGACTTACAACGCTAGAAACCGGGTTTCGATACCTGTGGTGGGCAGAGCACAGATAGCCCATTGTGTAGCTTTATGCATAAATTCAAACAAACAAACTTCTGTTGAAAAAAGAAGAGTTAAAGGGGGTGTGATTGAGGCATTTAAGATTGATAAAGGAATTGATAATGTTGATTCATCATTTTTTATTTTTTTTTCATATTTAATGATGAGAATGGTAAGACTAGGGGACATAAATATAGATTTTGACAAGGAAGAAATAATCTTTAGCTAGGACAACTTTCTTTTTCTAATAGTATGGTTGGCCTTTGTAACAGGTTGCCTTAAGATGTGGTGCATCCAGTTAATTTAAGGGAGTTTGAGGAAAACTTGATAAATATCTGAATAATAAGGGGTGGATTTGAGTTGTTGTTTTTTAAAGAGTTTAGAGCCTAGATGGACCGAAAAGTTCCTTGATCTCTTTTAATGTTACATTATGTTATGTTATTTCAGTTTTATTTATGTATGTTTTTAAATTTTTGTAGTACTACAAAGAAAGAGTATTCCAATATATTATGGTTCTTTTTCTTATAATCTTATACAGGTATCAAGCTGGAGATTACACAGGACAAATTTTAGCAGAAGTGTCTGCATTAAAGCTTGCTCGAAAATCTTATATTTCATTTAAAAACCAACTTGTATCTAAGCATGAAATACGAGTAACCAAGCACAAGCTAAAAAGGCGTATGGTAAGTTTTAGTTTGTAACATTATAATATTTACTACAAATTAAATACCTTTGGTTTCACTATACAGACAGTTATTACAGTAGCAGTAGGTCTAGCCTCACTAAGAATATCCTTTAATAAGACTATGGGTAGAGATGTATTAAAAGTGCATACTGATTGAAAATAGAAATGTTGAATACTCTTGTAAAATCAACAAGTTTCTTGGTGAAAAATGAAGTGTTACTTTGTAATGTATAAGTTCCCAATTTATTTGACATCTTTCAGGGGACCTTCATTCACATTTATCCAATCTTCTGTCCCAGATCTTATTTACTTTCCTCCACATTTTAAAATGTTTAAACCTGTGTATTACAGGAGATAGATGGATGTAACTTTTGTGTTAAACAGTGTTGAGTTGAATAATGATTTTCTTCAGTTAATAAATGGTAAACATCCAAATGTAAAGTTTACTGTTGAAAAATCAACAGAATGACAACCTATCATTGTTAGATGTTCATGTCTTAAATAACCAGGGTATACTTACCATTAAAGTGTATCATAAACCTGCTTTCACTGGACTTTATTTACATTTTGAAAGTTTCACTTCTTCGATCTTTAAAGAAAATCTGGTTAAAACCATGCTGTACAGTGTGTTTAAAATATCAAGAAATCAAAATCTTTTGGAAGCTATTGTATTAAATGTTCCAAAGAAAACTGTTAGTTGAGTCATACCATACTTGGTTACTCTTTCATACTTGATTAAGAAGAAAGTGAAACTATATCCACAAATTCAGTTAGCCCTTTCACCCCAGTCATCCTTTACTGCCCATGTTATGAGGTTTTAGTGTCTTACATTAAAATTTTAATACTACTATTTTTTGTTTATGTTTTACCAATTAATATAGCATAAAATCGTAGCTAATAATCCATATGCTAATAGTTTATAAGTTTTAAGTTCTTAATTTTATTAGGCAGTATTTGAAAAAATCCTGAATTTCCCCTAGTGTGAGAAATAACATATTTTCTCTAGACATTTCCTCTTCTCTATTTTATTCACCACCCCTCCAATAAGTACGAAATTTAATGTTAACTACTCACTATAAAATCATCATTACTCATACAAACCATAATTTTATAGTCTTCTATCTTCTTTGGTTACTGGGCTATCAAATAGAAAATTTGCCACACCCACCTGTCACATCCTCTCTTTCAGGATTTGTTAATAGTTCTCTCCTGTGTTTAATACTATATTATGTATAACCAAAAGAAAGCCAAGGTTTTCATCTATCAAATGATGTATTATATTATGTTGTTTTCTGAACAGAGAATTGTCAATTTCTCAGTTAGTACAAGCTTCGTTCCAATGGGAAAGATAATGGCCAGCTTGGATGAATTTGTAACGTTTTTTGTTGCATAGTTAGAAAACCAGAAAAATTGTGATAGTTAGGGTAAATTGTCTGCTTTTTGCATGTTATTATTCTATGTTCTTTGATGCATTATTTAATTGAATAAAAAATATTCAATGCATTACTACCATTAGTATAAAAAAAGTTTAATCTCTACTCATTATTATAAAAGTAACTAAAATGTAAAAATGCATTGTAGGATCGTATGGCATTAATATTATGAAAACAAGTTGTTAAATTTCAATTGAGACTTAACTTGTCAGTTAGTTGACATAAATATATGCATCTACACATATCAGTATCGGTTCTTTATATTCTTGTAAACATACCTGTTTTGTTACAGTTCTGGAGAAACTTTTAAATGGCTTTTTTATTCCAATTTCATCATATTCTTGTATGATTACATATCAAGAAAAAATGTCATTATCTATAAAAAAAGGGTTTTTTTGTAACATACCAGTTTACCAGTTGTTTTGTGACTCAAAAGCAAGTTGTCAGTCTCGAGCAAACACATTAGTGTGTACTAAGAATTTATTTTATTTTATTAATGATCAGTTTAGTTCAATTCATGAACGAGACATAATAAGTATGATGGTCTTTATTTCACTATTCCAACTTCTCCCTTGAAAACACCAGAAATAAGTAAAGGACAGTTAAAAATTAATGTTTAACAAGTAAACTTTCATAACAAATCATAGAAAAATTAGGTTTACACTACAGTAAAATGTTACAAGAAACTTAAGTTAAACATAACAA